GGACGAGGAGGAGGAGGAGGAGGAGGAGGAAGTGAGGGAGTGAGGGAGGAGGGCGAGGTGCTGCTGGCGCTGGGCTCCCTGTCGCTGCTGCTCCACCGTCGGCTGGTCGGCGGGGTGCAGGGCGCCGCCGCCTGGCCCGGTGCCGTCCTCCACCCCTTGTCGCCCTCGCCGCTGCTGCTGCCGCCGCCGTCGCCGTCGCCGTCGCCGTCGCCGTCGTCGTCGTCGTCGTCGTCGTCGCCGTCGCCGTCGTCGTCGTCGTCGTCGTCGTCCACCCCCGTCGTCGTCGTCGTCGTCGTCGTCGTCGTCGTCGTCGTCGTCGTCGTCGTCGTCGTCCTCCACCCCTCGTCGTTGCCGCCGCCGCCGCTGCTGTCGTCGTCGGTGTCGCCGTTGCCGACATGGCTTTTCCCCCTTGTCGTCATCGCCGCCGCCGCTGCCGCCGCCGTGGGCGCAGTGCTGCTTTCCAGGGCCTCGAGATCGAGCGGTACTCAGCTTTTCTGAACATTTGGGGGCCTTCGGAGGCCTTTGGGGACTTCGGGGGTCTCATTGACTTCTCCACCAGGTGCATAATTCTAGGCCTCCTAGATGATGTCGGGGTAGAAGGGTCGGTGGATCGCGCCGCATCGCCGATGCATCGCCGATGCGGCTCGATGTGGATCCCGATTTCCTTCACGTCGACGTCGCCGATGCATCGCCGACGTCGTTGATGCATCGCCGATGCACCGCCGATGCATTGCCGATGTATCGGCGATGCGGCGCGATCCCCCGATCCCACCTACTCTGACCCCATCTAAGGTGGGCACTTGGTTTTGAAAGTTGGGGGCACGCCTGATACATGCATTTTCTCGTCCTGTGGCTGTGGCTTTCCAACCACTGCACGGATGGAGGGCGTGCCATTTTTCAAAGTCGGTCCATCTCTCACGGCTTCTTGTCCAAAATTTGGTACATACCCAACATTCACACGAGTGAAGTGTTATTGGTGTTTGCTTTTTGACCTGGCACTCGCATGATGATTCTCCATGTCTGAAGGGCTCTTCCCTCTGCCACCGCCCACAAGGCTGATCCATCCTGTGGCAAGATTTGGATGGACCATCTTGGGGCCTCTTGGGGCCTATCGGGCCTCCTTTGAGAAATATTGTGCTATGCTTGCCTATCTTGGGGCATCTGTGGCCCATCTTGAATACCTGTTGGGCGCCTGTTGGAGCCATATTGGGATACTCGGAGATCTTGGCGGCATTTATGTTCTTTCCTCGGGCTGCCTTGGGGCCCTCTCGGGGGGCTCTTGGGACCGTCTTGAAGCGGGGTTGCGCAATACATGGAACCGGCATTTGTTGTGTTTACAACTGTGTGTGCTACAGTCGGGGCCCTGAAGAAGGAACCCTTTTCGTTTGGGAGGGGCTCCGCGTTCCTTGATTATTTCACAGCTTGCCTCAGTGTTTCCTTGTGTTTTCGATGGGAAATCGAAGTTTAACTTGTGGAAAAAAGGGGCCTCGTTCCCCATTCAGGGTTCCTTAGGTCAACGCCCCGACTGTACATGGAACCAGCATTTGTTGTGCTTACACCTGTGTGTGCTATCCTTGGGGCGTCTTGGGGCCCTGCTGGGCCATCTTGGAAGCAGCCTCTGGCACGTGTTTCGGCCGTCGAGGCCTTCTCTGGCTCTCCTGGGGAATCCAGGGGCGCTCAGCAGCAGCCGGGAGACTGAAATCGGAGCAGCAAGCTGCTATGCAAGCGAGAGCTTCCAATATTGCTAGACTTCCTTATTTTCTGATGTTCCACGCAGGCCGCATAACCGAGGGCCGCTAGATGTTTTCGTGCTCCTGGAGCGTATCTGGAGCCAATGGCATGATGACCTCATTCTCGTCTCATGAGGGCCTCCTACAGCCGACTCTGTGTTGCTGCCGCCTCTCCCCCGCTTCAAAGTGGGCAGTGCAACGTATACACGCCGGTCGTTGAGAGTAGGTATTTTTGGATTCCCAGATCCCAATCTACTTCGAAGCGCCTTCCTACTTCAAGAATCGACACGCTTCTGCTGTGTTTTGTTATTCCCTGGGGGGGCCTGGACCCAATCAACTTCATCCGCCTTCCTACTTCATGTTTTTTCCCTACTTCTTCCGACCGACGTGTACAAGTCGTTTCCTCCCTTCGATGAAGGCTGGCTCGACACCTTCTGCAAATGCAGCTACCGTGCTTGAAGCCAGACGCAGTGTCAAGAGGAAGCTCACAGAGCGCTTTACACGTGGTGTTTTCCCTACGTCGGAAACAAAGGTGTCGTTCGTGTCAACGTCGGCCTGCCCCGCGTCACGCTGGAGACGGAACGGACCACGGGTGCCTGCACCCCTTCAGGCAGGCTCGTCCCCGGGCAAGAGACACCCCACCACAATGGGTGCACTCGGCCCGTGGGGGTGGGCACATAATTCAAAGATGCTTGTGCCCTTGTTACAGTGTTTCGACAAGTTGTTTTCGCTGTCGCATTCTCCATATTCCATTCACTTGCTTGTACTTTGTTGCATTGTTTCGATAATACTGTATTCCGTGTTGCAAAGGCGGTTGTCTCTCATCAAGCGATTTGGTCAATCATCAGGCAAACTTCTGGTTATCAGCCGAAAGTCTCTCCAAGAGCGCGTTTTCGGCGGTGCAGCATTTTTCCCATCAGCCAGAGTAGTAGCAATGGTCGCTTTACCACAGAGGGGGCTTCGCACGTGCGCGCTGATTGTGATGCCCGAGAACCGGGATACGAAGTCGGCTCCGCCGTCCTGTGCTCCAGTCAGTGCTCTGGTCACGGGGGCGGGGGGTCGGACATTCAAGGAAAAAAGGGGGCACCTGCGGCCAAACCGCCAGGTGCCGACGATGTCACGAAAGAGGGGGCAGTCGTTTCCTCCCTTCTGTGAGGGCCAGATAATCAGGGTTTAGTAGCCTGGCTCGACATCTTCTGGCACATACAGCTGCCGTGCTTGAAGCCAGACGCAGTGTCAGGAGGAAGCTCGCAGAGCGCTTTACACGTGGTGTTTTCCCTACGTCGGAAACAAAGGTGTCGTTCGTGTCAACGTCGGCCTGCCCCGCGTCACGCTGGAGACGGAACGGACCACGGGTGCCTGCACCCCTTCAGGCAGGCTCGTCCCCGGGCAAGAGACACCCCACCACAATGGGTGCACTCGGCCCGTGGGGGTGGGCACATAATTCAAAGATGCTTGTGCCCTTGTTACAGTGTTTCGACAAGTTGTTTTCGCTGTCGCATTCTCCATGTTCCATTCACTTGCTTGTACTTTGTTGCATTGTTTCGATAATACTGTATTCAGTGTTGCAAAGGCGGTTGTCTCTCATCAAGCGATTTGGTCAATCATCAGGCAAACTTCCGTACAGGGCCAGAAAGACAGACACCAGTTATCTGTGTGTATTCACTTTTGTGTCCCAGGGCCCCTTCAATTATCGGTGGGACTTCCCTTCGGATCCCATGGTCAGCAGTCTTCCGAGATCTAAGACGGATGGAGGGCGGATCTTTTTCGAGATCGTGTTGCCGAGTCCTCGCCGTGCACACATCTCGAAGTTTCGACTGGCAACATGGGCGGATGGTGATTCCCGCTCAAACTCATGGTTTTTGTGTTGCGCTGCGCCGTCTCATATCGACATTCGCGTTTGTGTGTGTGTGTGTGTGTGTTTCAAGTTCGCTCTGTTGCTCACCGTGTCGACCGTCCCCTTGTTTTTTCTCCTTCGGGCGATCGCCGCTGCGAGCCACATTGGCTGACGGCGAGGGGGCTCGTGGTGGGATGGTGAGTTGCAGTATCAGTGATGATCCGTGCCTAGGTTATCATGGCCCCTGCTCCCTCCTGCACATCCTCCCCTTTGTCGTCCTCTCCTCTACCTGTACCTGTGCCTTACCTCGACCGTGTTGCGTGAGCTCCTCGCCCATGAGCGAGCGGCCTCCCTTGCACGTGAGGAGGGCGGTCTCCCCGTGTGGGGGGCGGAGGGTGGCCCATGTTGCGACGAGGCTGTGCTCTTCGTGAGGCAGTCCTCTCTCGCGGGTTTCGCTTCTCCGTTCTCCATGGCTTCGTGGCTCGTCGTCCTTCCCTCTAGTCGCCGTCGCCGCCGCGACATCGCCGCCGTGTTTGTCACCGCCGCCGCCGCCGCTCTTGTCGCCGTCATTACCGCCCTCGCCGTCGCCCTCGTCCCGACCGCCGCCTTCGCCGCCTCCCTCGCCGTCGCCGCCGCCCCCGTTCTCGTCTTCCCACTCGGAGGCGAGCCCAGAGGGGGAAGTGAGGAGGGGGCAGACCTTCTCGGAAGGCTCTGAGGCCCCAGGCCCTCTGAGAAGTTGCCAGCGCCTTCCCCGAAGGTGCAACGACCACTTTTTTCGGCAGGCGCGACGGCCCCTGGGAAACCCCGCCGCCCTCTGAGAGGGCCTTCTCCTTTTCTCTCTCCCCCCCCTCGTCCGCCTGCTCACTTCTCCCGCCCCCCCCCCCCCCGCCCTCCTCGGTGCCGTCGCCGCCGCCCCCGCGGCCGCCGAGGCGGCGGAGGAGGAGGGGCCCCCGCCGGGCGGGCCGCCCGGCGCGGGTGCGCCGGCCGACGCCGGCAGCGGCGGCGGCGGGGAGCCGCCGGCGCGGCCGTGCAGGCAGCGCTCAGGGGGGGGAGGGACACACACGCACAGGCAGGAGGAATCGTCGATTCCCAGACAGCGCTGTCAGGCGCTCGCACGCGCGTCCAAGCGCCCCCGAAGAGCTGCCGGGCGCCTCCGGCCGCCCCGGCGCGCTCCGAGGCGTTCCCAGGTCTCCCAACCGCTCCCAAACACTCCCACGCGCTCCCCGGCGCTGCCATGCGTTCCCAAGCGCTCCCAGGCTCCCAGGGGGGTGTGGAGGGGAAGTTGGGTGGCGCGTAGTGGGGGAGCCGATACATTGGGGGGCAGCGAGGGCTGCCGAAAAGGGGCTCTTTCTAGGGCCCCTCAAGGGGCCCTGTAGGGCCGAGGGGGCCTCTAGGGCCCGAGAAGGGCACTCTGTCTTGCCCCCATGTATCGACCTCCATTCATTCGCGCCCAAGGAAGACGAACGTCCTGGAAACATGGGGCAATATGGGGAATCCTGGGATTTGGGTTTATTTCTATGTGTGTCCCTGGGCCCCTTCAAGCTCGTCGGCGGCGGCGGCGGCGACGTCATGGGCAGCGTTCGGTTTTCGAAGGACATGCCCCAGTGGGCTCAGGGGAGCCGCCCTGGACCGTGCAGATTCCCTTTGGGGGCCTGTCGCCGACCCGCCGGCGATGTACGGCCGACTCAAGGTCGGCCCCTTCGCTACGGCGGCAACGGCGGCGGCGGCGCCGGCGATGGCGGGGACGGCGGCGGCGGAGGCGGCGGCGACGACGACGTCTTCCACACTCTGAGCAAGGGCGCCCTCGAGGGCGCGAAGTATTCGCGCTTCGCGCTTCGCGCTTCGCGGTTCGGCTCCGATTCCTTATGCTCCTCCTCCCCCCTGGGAGGCGGCGCGAGATCGCGAAATTATTCGCACTTCGCGCGTCGCGCGGCGCGGAGCGCGAAATTGGGAACCCTTGCTGAAGGGCCCCTGGAGTTCGGAGAAGAACCAGAAGAAGCGGCACACGCATTAAGTCGGGCGTGTCCTCCTACAGGGGGATTTTCGACGAAAAATAAAAAATGCCCCCCAAATACCCCCAAAAGGTCAAAACATATTCAAACATAGTCCCCAGACTTTTGTTTGTTATTATTTTCGAGTTAATATGTAAATATACATATACATACATTTGTATGTATACATATATATATATATATATATATATATATATATATATCGGCGAAACTCCCTCTGTAGGGGGACAGGCCCGACTTACGACAAGCATGGGCTCTCGGCGTTTCGCGCGGATTTCTTGGATCTGCGCTGGGGCCCCCTGCGCCAGGGGCGGCGGCAGCGGAGACGGCGGGGTCGGCGGCGGCGGCCACGGCGGGTCGTGCAGGCAGGTCGCCGGCGGCCTCGTCCTCGTGGTGGTCCTCGTCGTGGTCGTCATCGCCGTCGCAGTGGTCGTCGCCTTCGTCATTTGCGTCGTGTTCTCCCCCCCGTCTTGTGCTTGGCTCTGCTCCTCTCACCGAGCGCGTCCCACTACTCGCAAAAAGTGCTTACTCGCAGCCGTCAGACAAAAACACATGATCGCCTGGACGTAATGGATCGTGAAACCCCGCGGCGGATCCAGGCCATTTGCGAGTAGTTCCTCTGCAAGTACAGTCCACCTGCATAGGAAGGATGAGCAACCTTACCAAGAGTACCCGTGCATCCTTGCCCCTTCGGCCCATCCTTAGCGACTTTCGCTGGCCAACCTCGTTCGAAAAACGTTCACAAGGGTCTCCAAGGCCCTCGCATTCTTACCGCGCATCCTTATGATCAGGGCTAACTGTATCCTCTTCCGCTCACGCGCCTTGGCTTCCCGAAGATGGTCGTCCGAGCTCCCCCGTTGCCGCCCCGCTGCTGGCGCCCTGCCTCTCTCTCTCTCTCTTTCGCACTCCTTACGGCGCTGCTTGCTCCTGTTCCGTGCCCGCTTCGGGAAAAGAGCAAAACCCCTCCCCCTCCCCCTCCTCCTCCTCCTCCTCCTCCTCCTCCTCCTCCTCCTCCTCCTCCTCCTCCTCCTCCTACCCCTAAGATGGTCCCAGGAGGTCGAGCATAGCTCAAGATAGCCCCGACAGACCTCCAAGAGGCCTCAAAGCAGCCTCAAGGCGGCCCAAGCTAGCCGAGCATGGCTCAAGAAAGCCTCCAAGAAACCTCAACATATCCTCCTTCGTACTCTTCCTCTCTGTCGCGTCGTCGCCTCCGCCGTCCCCGCCGTCCCCGTCGTCCCCGTCGTCGTCGTCGTCGTCGTCGTCGTCGTCGTCGTCGTCGTCGTCGTCGTCGTCGTCGTCGTCGCCGTCGTCGCCGCCGCCGTCGTCGTCGTCGTCGTCCCCGCCGCGCCCGCCCGTCGTCGCCTCGCCGGCCTTCCGCGCGGCAGGCAGCTGCCCGACGTGGGCCTCAGCCCCGTCCGTGGCCTGCCGGCGGGCGGGCGGCTACTGCCGCCAAATGCCTCGGACCCCGCTGGCCCCACCGGCGTCTTCCAGGACCAGCTGGCGCGGTCGTCGTCGTCGTCGTCGTCGTCGTCGTCGTCGTCGTCACCGCCGTCGTCGTCGTCGTCGTCGTCGTCGTCGTCGTCGTCGTCGTCGTCGTCGTTGTGGTCGTCGTCGTCGTCGTCGTCGTCGTCGTCGTCGGCGTCGTCGTCGTCGTCGTTGTTGTTGTTATTGTTGTTGTTGTTGTTGTTGTTGTTGAACTCTCATTTCTGAAGAATAATTTTTGTTGATCCCCCCGGTCCGGTGCACATTGTTTTTTTGTCGATGGAAGTGCCCTTCCTGGGGCTCGCACCCTATTTTTTATCAGGGAAAGTCTTGAGGGTCAAACTGTGTCGTTGGCCCCCGTTTTACAACAACAACGGCTCCCGCTCACGACTTCCTTATTATTTAGCCAGGACCTCCGCTCCCGCCCGAGACTTCCTCGCATTTTATTAAGGACTCGCGCTCTCGCTTGGGACTTCCTCACAATTTATTCTCCCAGCGCTCTGGAGTCGCGCTCTCGCTGGAGACTCGCCTGCAATTTACTGACGAAAAGCGCCCTTGCGTTGGAATTTCCTGCAATTTACTTAAGCGCCGCGCTCCCGACACCCAGGCACCCAGGAGTCGCGCTCACGCTTAGGAATCCCTCACATATTACATAGGAATCGGGATATCGCTGCCCTTCGCGGCCCCGTTGCAGCCCTTCGTGCCCCCCTCGCTTTGTTTCGTGGCCCCGTTGCAGCCCTTCGTGGCCCCGCCCCCTCGCTTTGTTTCGTAGTCCCGTTGCAGCCCCGCCCCGTTGCAGCTCTTTGTGGCCCCCTCTCGTTCGCGCCCGTGGTGGCCTCATATGCATGCCCTTCGTGGCCCCGCTGTCGCCCTTCGTGGCTCCCTCGCTGCCCTTCGTGGCCCCACTGCTGCCCTCAGTGGCCCCGTCCTTGCTCTCCGCGGCCCAACATACGTATGCCCTTCGTGGCCCCGCTGTCGCCGTTTGTGGCTCCCTCACTGTCCGACGTGGCCCAGTTGCTACCCTCAGTGGCCCCATCGTTGCCTTCTGTGGCCCCGCATTATCTGCCCTTCGTGGCCCCCGCTCGTTCGCGCTCTTGGTGGCCCCATACGCATTCCCTTCGTGTCCCCGCTGTTGCCCTTCGTGGCGTACTTCGTGTCCTTGTGGCCCTGCTGTCGTTCTCTTTCGCTCTCGCTTTCGCTCATCGCCGTCATCGTCGACGTCGTCGTCGCCGTGGTCGTCGTCGTCGTCGTCGTCGTCGTCGTGGTCGGTCCCCTGTCCGTCACTCTTGGGGTCGGGTCGACGGGGATACCAACAGAAGACGAAGACGAAGAGGGCGGGTATCGAGGGTTTGGGAAATAGACGTTATTGGACACTCGAGCAGATAAGGGCGAACAGTCTTAAAATGATTGTTGTTGTTGTCGTTGTTGAATTCTCATTCTTGAAGAATGATTATTGTTGACCCCCCCACCGGTGCGTATTGTTTTTCAATGAAAGTGTTTCCCTCGACGCTCGCACCCTGTTTTTTGATAGGGAAAGTCTTGATGCTCAAACTGTGCACTTGGCCCCCGAGTTACAACAACAACGGCTCCCGCCTACGACTTCCTTATACTTGAGCCAGTGCCCCCGCTCCCGCCCGAGACTTCCTAGCATTTTATTCAGGACTCGCGCTTTCGCTTGGGACTTCCTTACAATTTATTCAGGAATCGCTCTCCCAGCGCTCAAGAGTCGCACTCTCGCTGGAGACTTGCTTGCAATGTACTGACGAATAGCGCCCTTGCGTTAGAGTTCCCTGCACTTCACCCAAGCGCCGCGCTCCCGACACCCAGGCACCCAGGAGTCGCGCTCACGTTTAGGAATCCCTCACAGATTACACAGGAATCGGGATCTCGCTGCCCTTCGCGGCCCCGTTGCAGCCCTTCGTGCCCCCCTCGCTTTGTTTCGTGGCCCCGTTGCAGCCCTTCGTGGCCCCCTCGCTTTGTTTCGTAGCCCCGTTGCAGCCCCGCCCCGTTGCAGCCCTTCGTGGCCCCCTCGCTTTGCTTCGTGGCCCCGTTGCAGCCCTTCGTGGCCCCCTCGCTTTGCTTCGTGGCCCCGTCGCAGCCCTTCGTGGCCCCGTTGCAGCCCTTCGTGGCCCCCTCGCTGCCCTTCGTGGCCCCGTTGCAGCCCTTCGTGGCCCCTCGCTGCCCTTCGTGGCCCCATATATGTATGCCCTTCGTGGCCCCCTCTCGTTCGCGCCCGTGGTGACCTCATATGCATGCCCTTCGTGGCCCCGCTGTCGCCCTTCGTGGCTCCCTCGCTGCCCTTCGTGGCCCCATTGCTGCCCTCAGTGGCCCCGTCCTTGCTCTCCGCGGCCCAACATACGTATGCCCTTCGTGGCCCCGCTGTCGCCATTTGTGGCTCCCTCACTGTCCGACGTGGCCCAGTTGCTACCCTCAGTGGCCCCATCTTTGCCTTCTGTGGCCCCGCATTATCTGCCCTTCGTGGCCCCCGCTCGTTCGCGCTCTTGGTGGCCCCATACGCATTCCCTTCGTGTCCCCGCTGTTGCCCTTCGTGGCGTACTTCGTGTCCTTGTGGCCCTGCTGTCGTTCTCTTTCGCTCTCGCTTTCGCTCGTCGTCGTCGTCGTCGTCGTCGTCGTCGTTGTCGCCGTCGTCGTCGACCTCGTCGCCGTCGTCGCCGTCGTCGTCGTCGTCGTCGTCGTCGTCGGTCCCCTGTCCGTCCCTCTTGGGGTCGGGTCGACGGTCCGCGGCTGCCCCACTGATCAGCGCTGCCGCTGGCCAGGCCGACGGTCCGCGGCCGACCCGCCGCTTGCCGGGGCCCGGCCTGCAGGGAAGAAAGGTATACCCCCCACAAGGGGTTCGATCGAAGAAAAAGAGCGGGTATCGATGGTTTGGGAAGTACGCGTTATTGGGCACTCGAACAGATAGGGCGAACAGTCTTAAAATGATTGTTGTTGTTGCTGCTGCTGCTGTTGTCGTTGTCGTTGTTGTTGTTGTTGCTGTTGCTGTTGTTGTTGTTGCTGTTGCTGTTGCTGTTGCTGTTGTTGTTGTTGAACATTATTTATTCTAAAGAATAATTATTGTTGGGCCCCCTGGTGCGCGCCCCCCCTGCGCCGCCTAGGCCGCAGCTACATTTTCATCATTTTCGTGAGGAAGCCTCAGAAAAGAGGGTGTGTACAGGATCCGGTTGTTTTGTTGTAATCCGCTTTCCCTTGCAAAAAACAATAGAAAATGACATTTCTTGTTCTAATATAATCAAATTTCAAGAATCCCTTGCAAAAAATAAGGTAAAGTGGACATTCGCGCGCGCAAGACGAAATCCTTCCAAAACCTTAGTGTTCGCAGCGATTTTAACATAAAAACATCAAAAAACCAATGGTTTTTCAACAAAAAATTGTCAAAATCTCATCCCGCGCGCTCTTGCGGATTCGTAGGAAACCCAACACTTTTTAAACATTTCTGTCAAACGGGCTTTTGCGAGCAACTTTTTCGAACTTCTGCGACAACGGTTGCGCACCTGCCAGGGCCATCATCCCTGTCAAATAATACCATGCGGGACACATTCGTTTTTTCTTCGCGCGCGCACGCCGTCGTCGTCGGCCGCGGGGCCCTGAATAGTAGCCACGGTCGTCCGCATGCCACGAAGTGAAGTGTCCGAACGTCATAGGGCGGGAAGCTGGGTGTGGGTGGTGGCGAAGAGTCGTTTGGAAATTTGGTAGAGCTTGAACCGGCCCCCCCACAAAGTGGGGGTATTGCCCGCCTCCTATGAAAACCCTGGCACTGGTGAGAACGGAGTGTCCCCACGTGCTAGTAATTGTTGTTGTTGTTGTTGTTGTTGTTGTTGTTGTTGTTGTTGTTGTTGTTGTTGAATTCTTATTTCTGAAAATAATTATTGTTGATCCCCCCACTGGTGCAGACTTCTCAATCAAAGTGTGTCCCTCGACGATCGCACCCTGTTTTTTGACAGGGAAAGTCTTCCTGCTCGAACTGGGCCCCTGGCCCCCGGGTTACAGCAACAACGGCTCCCGCTTGAGACTTCCTTGCAGTTTAGCCGGGACCCCCGCTCCCGCCCGGGACTTCCTCGCATTTTATTCAGGAATCGCGCTCTCGATTGGGACTTCCTTGCGATTTATTCAGGAATCGTTTTCCCGGCGCTCTTGAGTCGCGCTCTCGGTGGAGACTTGCTTGCAACTTACTGAAGAATGGCCTTGCGTTGGAATTCCTTGCGATTTGCTCAAGCGGCGCGCTCCCGACACCCAGGCACCCAGGAGTCTCGCCCGTTGTGGCCCCATTTGCATGCCCTTCGTGACCCCGCTGTCGCCGTTTGTGGCTCCCTCACTGTCCTACGTGACCCAGTTGCTACCTTCAGTGGCCCAATAGTTGCCTTCTGTGGCCTTGCATTATCTGCACTTCGTGGCCCCCGCTCGTTCGCGCTCTTCGTGGCCCCATACGCATTCCCTTCGTGTCCCCGCTGTCGCCCTTCGTGGCCTACTTCGTGCCCTTCGTGGCCCTGCTGTCGTTCTCTCTCGCTCTCGCTTTCGCTCGTCGTCGCCGTCGTCGTCGTCGTCGTCGTCGTCGTCGTCGTCGGTCGGTCCCCTGTCCGTCCCTCTTGGGGTCGGGTCGACGGTCCGCGGCCGCCCCGCGGATCAGCGCTGCCGTTGGTCAGGCCGACGGTCCGCGGCCGACCCGCCGCTTGCCGGGGCCCGGCCTGCAGGGAAGAAAGGTATACCCCCCAAAAAGGGTTCGATCGAAAACGAAGAGGCCGGGTATCGAGGGTTTGGGACATACGCGTTATTGGACACTCAAGTATATAAAGGGCGATCAGTTTTTATTATTACTATGTTTTATTGTTGTTGTTGTTGTTGTCGTCGTCGTCGTCGTCGTCGTCGTCGTCGTTGTTGTTGTTGTTGTTGTTGTTGTTGTTGTTGTTGTTGTTGTTGTTGTTGTTGTTGTTGTTGTTGTTGTTGTTGTTGTTGTTGTTGTTGTTGTTGTTGTTTTGTTGTTGTTGTTGTTG